GCCTCCGCGCCAGGCGCTTGGCCCAGGCCACTCTCCGGGGCGCGGCGGGGCCGAGGGGCCGGGCCGCCTCCCGGGGCCGCCCGACGGCGCCGCGCCCCGGAGAGTGGCCTGGGCCAAGCGCCTGGCGCGGAGGCTGCGAGGTGAGGGAGAGCCGCTGCCCCAGCCCCGCACCCCTGTGCCCCGACCCCCGCTCCCGGCCCCGCGCGGCGCCTGTGCCGCTTCCTGCCGGCTGGCGCTCGGAGGAACGCTTAGGAGTTGTTCGTAGTCCTTTTTGCCTGTTGTCCACCCACCCCTTTGCTCCCTGCCCTCTTTTCCCTCTCTCCGTGTTCTTTTCCCATCGGTCCTTACGCTTCTCTGTGTCCCCATCTCTTCGTGCACATCCATCTTCTGATCCCCTTCCCGGTAATGCCCCCCCAGCACACGCAAATGCACCCGCACCTCTCTCCTTTCCTTACCCTGGAGTGTTTAGACCTCTCTGCCTCCCAGCTCTTCTTCCTGGCTGTTTTTTGTGAAAGATATTCCGTCATAGGGGAGGTTTAGGTTGGACGTGAGGAGGAATCTCGATTAGACATTGGAATGGGCTGCCCAGGGAGGGATTGGAATCACTGTCCTTGGGGGTGTTTAAAAAAAGACTGGACGTGGCACTTGCCGTGATCTGGTTGACATGGAGGTGTTAAGTGATAGTTTGGATTTGATGGTCTCAGAGGTCTTTTCCAACCTGGTTAATTCTCTGATAGTTTCTGGATATATGTGGCTTTCTGACCCAACGCCAGGTCTTGGGAGAGTTGGAGCAGAATGCTCGTCGTCCTCTCTTTTTCGGCTTCCCCTGTCCTATAGAAGAGGTGTTTAGGACGGAATAGGATGCTTGGTGTGGGTTTGTTGGGAAGGTGTTTGATTCACTTTTGCTTTTCCTCAGTATTGTGCAGTGCCTTGAAACTGCCCTCGATAGTCCAGAGCTGCCTGTTGATGCACAGCTGGGACCAGGGACATAGTTTGAAGTAAAACCGGGCGCACATTGAATGAGCATTTGAGGTGTTGTTCTAAGCTTGCTGCATTTACTCTGCACTGAGCTGGCCTTGTACAGGGTTGATTTAACATAGCAGAGAAAATGGTGGACGGGGAGTTCTTTGGATTCAAGGTTGTGGGAACACATTGAAAACCCCCCCTTCCTTTTCAGAGAAGCTTAAAATGTCAGCATCAAACTGAGAATTTTAAACATAGGATTTGTTTAAGTGCCATACAAGATCTTTATAGTTACAAAGCTGCAGGAAAAGTAAACCCTATTTAGAAAATAGTTTCTTCTTCTAAAATGTGGACTTTCTGAAGTGGTAAATAGTATTGTTACTAGCTGGCACAGCATCAGCAGAAGTATCAAAACAAACTTGATTTTAAGCAAGGATTTGTAAATTAGGCTATTGTATATCCTGTATGCCTTCTCTTTGATTTTTATGTGCATTCAAAGATCATTTGCTATAATGATTTCTTTGGCTTCAGCTGTATTGCACCAAAACAAATCCCTCTTGAACATTGCAGTGTCTTAGATGCAAGTTAGACTTGCAGACATTATGGAATAGACCATGTTTTTGGTAGATTTTACTAGGACAATGTTCAATGACCCAAGTCACTTCATGATAAGAGATCAGAATGACCAGGAAAAATACCAATAGTGATTGCATTATGTGTGAACTGGCACCACTGTGTTTTGGAGTCTTCAGTGGTGTGTTTGCTTTAGTCTGTCACTGAGATATGTAATTGCCTGGGAAAGGAACTGCTTCACGTGGAGAAAGTAAAGTCTTCTTATAAAAATTCTTATCTAAGTAGACTATTCACATGCTCCCTTCATATTGTTTTTTGCCAAGAAGGAACCTGCTGTTTATGTTTTTAACTTTGGTGAAAACCAACAGTGTTTGTACATGAGTGAGACTGAGTTAGTAATAACCTGGCATGAGTTGCTGCTGTTGGTTCTCTGTCATGATTTGT